ATTTTACTCGATCGTGGAGTTCCAATTTTTTCGCTGTGTACTCTTGACAATATCAACAGTGAAACCCGTGCAAATCCGAGTAAACCAGCGTGACGAAAAGTCTCAAAATTCTCAATACTAAAGTCGCACTGCGCGCTTTTGAAATTGCCGCGATCGCGGCTCAACTTACGAGTGATTTTTCTCGAGAACCGTTGCTCGCAGCGCTTCGCGGATTGTTTCTCCTGACAGGTGAGCGTTTTCTCTTCGCGCTGGATATTTCGATCACTGGATTTGAGCGAGATTGGACTGAGTTACGATCTGTTGAAGTTTTGCATTTGAATGCGTCGTTTACGACGCATTCAAGTATGGGGCGGCACTTAAAGGGTTAAAACACAATAGTCTGGTATCAATTCACCTCAGAATGTCAACATTGAAATAATATTGAAATAATATTAATTGACACTTTCTGGACAACAGAACAATGCTAGTAGCCAACAAACATCACACTGAACTATTTTGAATAGGAGCACTGGTATGCACCACATGAAAATGCACCTCCATAAAATGATCAACTAAGGCAATGTTATACAACTTCTTGCTCCTTATATATTGGCACGCACAGAGACATAGACAGCAATAGCGACAACACATCAATTGAAGGGTAGTTAGCCGCAGCCAGATGTGAACCAGATAACGAGTGAGGTATGGAAGCAAGGACTGAGTGTCTCAAATGAAAAAAGGTGTGCAAGCAGATAGCAGGACCACTTGGGGCCGTCAGATTAATTTGTGCCTTGCTCCCCGCCGAAACATGAACAGCGGAAAACAGTACTGAGTGCACAGCTCCAGCAGCCAGGAATACGTGTGATTGTCGGTGAACTGCTTGCGCCAAACGGAGCAGCCCTCTGCTGAATGGGGTGGGTTGCTGCCAGATCCTGGGCGAGTACATGCGGCCGCAGAAGTTCGTATTAGGCCATACTTTGTTTTTTCTATGTTTCTCGTCGGCAAATTTTAACAAAAGGTGTGCGGGTGGGCGAAAAAAAACAAAAGCCAAGAAAAAGCTAGAACAATTTCTACTCAAGACTGTGTACATTTTGTATGTGTGATTATTACAAGACACTGCCATGTATACTATACAGTACTACATTGTACATTGTATAATCATGTGATCCCATAGTACATGATTGCACTACATTATCACATCAGCCCACGAATATCAGCCAAACTGCGACATTGAGAGTATAAAGTTTCATTGCGAGATGGCGAAGAGAACATACATTTATCTGCTATCGCATCAACAAACGCGTTCCCACTCGTCATTTTCGTTTTGTTACTTCAACGTTCTTGTATCCGCTTATCAAACTCTTGTCTCCACGCTGCTCATCTTTTCCTTGCCATGTGTCCATTGCTTGGTTTTTCTGACCACAACATCGTTCCACAGACGCCAGTTTCCACGGAACTCGTCCGATTTACGGTATTCCTGGGACCCGCGAGGCTCAGGCAGTGAACGACTGAAAGTTTCGTTACGGCAGCCTTCATCGCAGAGAACGGATAGGGAGTGCTCCTTTGCTGCTAGCTGTGGTGCAAACGTTCACGATTTTGATGGACGCATCTAGCTGCTGCAGCATGTGCAGCGTTCATACATGTACATGTACCGTAAGATCCTGCCAGAGCGCCCCTACCTCCTCGACGCTTCAGGTGGGGAGGGGCGGATGGGCGAGTCCTACTTGCCGCATTGAGTACTACATGAAAAAGTACTCACCTACGAAAACTGTTCGTGCATCGACCAAAGGTCAAGAGCCAGGAGTCGTACAGACCCATCAAATTTCAGGGTTGTGCGATCCCTGGTCAAGAGGATTGGCACTGTTGCAAACATTTCCAACGGGGTTGAGCACGCGTCTGCAGTACAGTACGGCATCACAGACGGTGACAGAGTCATACGAGGATACAATCAATCACTTTCCTGACAAGAAGTCAGGGAGGGGCGGATGGGAGAGACGGGGCGCTCTGGCGGGATTTTACGGTACAAGCATGAACGTTTTTTTCTTCCGAATTTTCTGAAAACCTACGCGGGCGGTGAGGAGAAACATAGAAAAAACAAAATGTGGCTTTACAGCAGCTATCTGTGAAACGGCTCAGCTCATCATATGTGCGGTGATGGTTTTTGGCTTTGAAGACTCAATCCAATTGCCTGGAAGAAGACATAGTATATCCCTGGCTAATAGTGAACTCCTATGTAGGCAAATAGCCACAGATACTTGACAGTGCACTGAATGATGTTCATCTCCCAGTGCAAGCCATGTGAAATGGGCAGTACTGGAGCACCCAATCAAACTCCCCATCAGGAATGTTTGTCGGGGCGTCAATTCACCCTTCTCAACCAGATCATCTGAAAACGTTCTCAGCGTCTCACGTAATGTACTCGTGTTCCCTGTTACCCCCAAGCCTCTTGCACTACATGCACTCTTCAGATCAGCCTTTGACATTGAGTCGACATGCGATATTCCTGCTTCATGGTTAGCCAATTCGGCTGCATTGTGCTTGGCTCCTCCATCACAGTCAATATGGCAAGCTGTTACACACAACAGTGGGCCATTCCATCACCCCTCGTCACCTAATCATTGTTTTACCCTTGCACGCTTCACAACATTGCACAACACAATGCAAACAGCTTCGTGGGAGTAGGGGTAAACAAAATCCAACATCTGCCAGGGACACAAGGGGTACATCTTCACCACTGGTCTTTGAGGACACTCTGGTCAACGAAACACTGGTACTGCTGTCCACATCCGGTACATACACAAATTCGGTGACTGACTTTCGTGTGCCTGGCTTGGTGACTTTGGGGTGCTGGGTCGAAACCACTGATTTGCCTTGGTCATCTTGCAATGCCTGCCTAACATTTACCCTGCACGTTGCATTAGGACACAAATGCAGCCTGCGCTCCATCTGTGTGCAACATTTGGGGCAGATCTTCCGAGGTGCTCAGAAGTGCTAATAGTGAGCCTACACTTTCCTTTTTCAGATTAATTATTTCCTTTTCAAGTAATTCAATTTTGTAATCCTTGTGGGAATGCATCTTGTACATTGCAGCCGATGCACATTTTGGCCACCAACACACACACACACTCTCTCTCTCTCTCTCTAAACGCTGCAAGGAATCAGTATTATGAACATTATCAACAGTGGACTCAGATGGAGAGCCAAGGATAAATTTATACAAAAGAAAAAGGACCAAGGAACTACCAGTTACGCTATACTGTCCACAAACACCACCGTTGGTCAGTGTCGTGCAATTCTTTCGTTTGAGCTGATTGTTTAGTAACTGTTGTTTAGTAACTGGTGGTGTTAGCGGGCAGCGGAGCCAGGTAGAGCGAGAAGATCCGGAGAGGCTGGACGCCGGTTGGTGACGACGACATTGTTTCAATGCACAAACAAGGGTTGCTGAGATCGTGTGGAGGTACTTCATATCAGGAACCTGATGACGGCGCAAGCTAAAAGTCCACAGTCGACGTTCCACTGTAGACGACGACATTGTTTCAGGCACCAACAGTCGTCATTGAAGTCTGAATTTGAAACGTAGGGATACGAGAATGCAAGCTTGAAAGTATAAACGAAAGGAAATTGTTTGGGACCACATGTTCCGCAAGTTGCACGCTCGAAAGTCCAAACAGCAATGACATGCAAGAGACATTGTACAGGATTTTGAAGGGCGCGTGCCCAAGTGACTCGCGCATGCGTGCAGGTTGGGCCAGCTCGCTGGGCTGGCTGCTAACTCGCGTTAGCATGCTAACGCTCATTTATAGCGTAACTTGTGGTTCCTTGGTCCTTTTTCTTTTGTATAAATTATCAACATTATCTACTTCGTTTGAGGCTGAGGAGGTTTTTAGATGGGACTGGCTGGAGACATGGGGAAAAGAAGCATCTATATCATCGGTGGATTCGCAGGAGCTTACCTCTGGGAGAGGAACATCATTGCTGGCATCTACAGAATCCCCACAGCTAGCGCCCCTCGAATGCTCGTACAAAGGGTGGTTGGTGAATAAATCCTTCGAGTCAACCAGTCGTCCGCAACTCCTACAAATTGCGGACACGTCTCATCCAGAAAGCCCTGATAACACTGTCAGGATACATTTGTCGACCCGAGCATCCTTCGAGCTATGCAGCAGCGATTCTCACTCATCGTGGAATGGATCCTTGCATGTAAACTGGCATTGAGAACCTCCAGACTTTCTCTTCTTCCTCGATATCTTGGCCATGATGACATAATGTTGAAAATTAAAACGGGTTTTTTCTCATCACTTCTCTCCCTCGAACGACATGGCAGATATCAAATTTCCTCCGGGCAAAACCTCCTGAAACCCTTTTTAGTAAAGGCTTAAACACTGTACAACCTCCGCAGTTTTGGAGTTACCTCCGCCAAGTTACCAAAAGAGGGACTGATATTTCAAGGCTAATCGAAATTGTGCCATATCTTTTTCAACGAGAGCAGAAGCCCTTCAGGCGCACTCATCTTTCATTTTTTCCGGCCGCGGGCTCACACGGGCGCACGGTGTGATTTCACCGTGCGTACTTGTCAGTCTGCATATCAACGCCTTAAGTTTTCGTGTAAAAACCTGAATGTTCCCTGAACACGGGATTCCCTCGACTGCCCATAGGTGTGACATTTTCTGTACCAGGAGTGGGTCCCTGTCCGGGAAAGCCCAGTGCAGTCACTTAGAATGGATGTATCACTGTGCTGTGTAGGAGAGCCACCCAAATGTGTATAGATCCATACAAAAAAGGATCCTAGTGGATCCAAAAGTCTGAGTTGTCATGGCTCTGGACTGGTTGTGACATAACACTTTCAAGCCCTAATGCTTTCTGAGCACTCCTGGTAGTCTACTGCTCAATTTAAACTCAGAAAAACAAGAATTTGATAGTGTTTGAGTCGAAAACTGGTCCAAACCAGGTTTGGCATACTTCAAAGTAGTTCTGTCTTTGTTCTTGAAATGAAGTCTGTCTTCCTGCTGTTGTACCCTTAGGCAACTCTAGCAGCTCCAATATGGCCTTAGACGAGTTGCTAGATGATGATGGAGAGCTGTCAGAGGACTATGACGATGACGAGGATGAGGATGATGATGTTGAGGATCTACCTCAGGGCTATGACAAGGATAAGTATGGATATGAGAGCGAGGTAAATGAGATGGAGTTTTCGAGGCGCGCTGACACAGCTGATGCTGCTGAACGCCACCTTTCCCAGCAGGAATATGATCAGCTGAATGACCGTAGTATGGATTTCCAGTCGGTGCTGGCAGCCATAATGGGGTCACACAGGAAAGACCAGAATTTCCTGACAGCAATCAGCGCTTCCATTGCTAACAGTAAGTTCATAATAATCATTGCGAGTAGTATAAGAATGGATTACTGGAAATGAGAAGGTAAACATTTTAGGAAATTAGAGGCCACATGCCACGTACTGCTCTTTTCTCTCCGAAACTCAACACTTGCAAGCCAGATATGAAAGAAAGAAAAAATCATCAGTCACACCACCGGGACTCGAACCAGGGACCTTGCTATTCGCGAGCAATGCTCTAACCAACTGAGCCACAGTATGACTCTTATCCACAGTGATGGTAAATCTATCCTTCTTCGATCAATCCACATCTGGCTTGCATCATGCGGGCAACTCACACCAATCAAGAGGGCCCTCGGCCATTCGCCTGATATCATGGGGAGCGCATCAAACTATGTCCACTGCGAGCAAATACAAATTGCAATTTCAAATTTGGACTGCTGTGAAGTCCAAATTTGAAATTGCGAGAAGGTAAACAGGTGATGAAAATAGGACACTGTGCAGCTGTGCCTGCTTCGCAAAGTGGTTGGAGAAATGACCTTCCAAACATGCGCTTACGGGTTCGATTTCCAGTTTGATTGAAGATCACTCCCATCCCCAGGAAACCCATCAGGGATTGAGTACCTAACATCTGTTGGGCAGCCAAAGGTGACCAGGGAGAGGGTGTGAGATCTGCCCTTCGATGTGTACAGCTCATTGTGGTCCGAATTGATAACAGGCTATTTTACCAACAGCTATAAACACAATTCTTGCATCTGATATCAACTTCAGACTCCTGGCGGTCCAGCAGGCAGCTAGGGTCCCTCATTGGCGACAGTGAGGACCTGGAGCGGAGGAAAGATCTCGCTTCGCGTGCATACGGCAGGATGTATAGCCTCTGGCTGAGGCGTGGGAAGGTCAGTGAGCAGAGGCGCATCCGCCTGTATAATGCCCTGGTTCTGCCCGTTCTTTTGTATAACTGCGGCGCATGGGGGCTCACGGCAGCACAAACAGAATCGCTTAAGAGAGCATGTCTGAGAATACCAAAGTATGTGTGCAAGTGGATCTCTCCGATTTCGCTCAAAATTTGCAGGTAGGTTCCCTTTGGGGTGTGGATCGCTCGTGCAAAGCCCTTGAAAAAGTTTCTGAAGGGAACCTTGAAATTTGCATACCCCTCAAAAATGGCCGAAATATCACATTATTTATGGGTCTAGAAACGAGTCACGCCACAGCGTATACGAACAAGCTATGAACAAAACTCCATCAAGCCAACATTGCCTCACCTTAGAAGAGTTCCTGGAGCAGTACCGCTTAGCCACGCCAGCATCCCAGAAGACGAGGTCCATCACCCCCTGACGCCACAAATGATCGTCTTGAAAATAGCCAATTTACAAGCGCTGGCAAAACAGCCAGCTACGTCCTCAATTGGCCAGAACTATACACCGGCAGATAGTAGAACACCTCTTCTAGCGCTGAGGACATGTCCCCCATCATCCTTTTGGGGTTTTCTTGAAATAAACTTTTTTGAATTTTTCCACTCGACCATGCTGAAATACGGCCAAAGTCATACCTGCGCAGGAAAGCTCGCCCCTCCGCGACGTCTCCTCAGCAATTTCTACTCCAACACTACTCCCAAGGCCGCAGAACAAAGTGTAGTGTTGACTCTGACAAGGAAAAGCAGCGGTGATCACTTGTCACTCCAAACGACAAGCTTCTCCTTGCGCCACCAATAAATTTTTGTGCGACTGTTGATGCAAAAGTGACTGAAGGCCTGAGCGCAGTTTTTGAATTTTATTGCAAGATGCACGGTGAAATCACGTGCCTTGTAACGCAAGAATGCCAAGTCGCGTGGATCACGGCTCACGAGATTTCAGAGTCACCTTTGTCAAGTGCGCTTGTTACTCGCCTTGAACGCCCGTTGGTCTGGAAGTGATCACACTTGTGTTGTTACTGCGCTCAAGAACACGCTGACCGTGTTGTAGGCCTACGAACCGGGACTTTCCCTGACCATGTAGGTCGAAGACCAGTGAAATGATGATGAAATCACATTCTTTATGACGTAAGAAATCTCTCATGCAGTTCACGCAACAAGTGCGTGCAGCCAGTGCTACTCGCGTGCCAGTCAACACAAAGGGACCGAGCTAGCCGCTTTTGAAGTTTTGTCGAGCATCGACATGAAAACAAGGGACTTTACTGTTGGACTATATTCGGAATTGCAGGAGGTAAGTGTGAAAGACGAATAACTCTCCATGCTGTACGAGGGGCATATTTCAACGGCTTGCTGCCATTGCAACACTCCTAGGACAGTTTGTGGGGGTTCTCAGCAGTTCAAGCAGGAAATGAAGCTCATCTTACCTCTGCCATCATGGTCTGTTCCGAGTAGCGTTCCAGGCACATTCGTGATCGATGGCCGCGTATCGTGATGCAGGAAGCGTCATCCTACGTCACAGAGCACGCGATATCATCGTGCATCTTGCAATAAGATTCAAAAACTGCGCTCAGGCCTTCAGTCACTTTTGCATCAACAGTCGCACAAAAATTTATTGGTGGCGCAAGGAGAAGCTTGTCGTTTGGAGTGACAAGTGATCACCGCTGCTTTTCCTTGTCAGAGTCAACACTACACTTTGTTCTGCGGCCTTGGGAGTAGTGTTGGAGTAGAAATTGCTGAGGAGACGTCGCGGAGGGGCGAGCTTTCCTGCGCAGGTATGACTTTGGCCGTATTTCAGCATGGTCGAGTGGAAAAATTCAAAAAAGTTTATTTCAAGAAAACCCCAAAAGGAAGATGGGGGACATGTCCTCAGCGCTAGAAGAGGTGTTCTACTATCTGCCGGTGTATAGTTCTGGCCAATTGAGGACGTAGCTGGCTGTTTTGCCAGCGCTTGTAAATTGGCTATTTTCAAGACGATCATTTGTGGCGCCAGGGGGTGATGGACCTCGTCTTCTGGGATGCTGGCGTGGCTAAGCGGTACTGCTCCAGGAACTCTTCTAAGGTGAGGCAATGTTGGCTTGATGGAGTTTTGTTCATAGCTTGTTCGTATACGCTGTGGCGTGACTCGTTTCTAGACCCATAAATAATGTGATATTTCGGCCATTTTTGAGGGGAATGCAAATTTCAAGGTTCCCTTCAGAAACTTTTTCAAGAGCTTTGCACGAGCGATCCACACCCCAAAGGAAACCTACCTGCAAATTTTGAGCGAAATCGGAGAGATCCACTTGCACACATACTTTGGTATTCTCAGACATGCTCTCTTAAGAGAGCATGTCTGAGAAAACCAGAACATATGTGCAAGTCGATCTCTCAGATTTCGCTCAAATTTTGCAGGTAGGTTTGCTTTGGGGTGTAGATCGACATTCCAAAGCCCGCACAAAATCTTTTGAAGGGAACCATGAAATTGGTATACCCCTCAATATTGGCCCAATATTGGCCCGATTTATGGGTCAACAAACGAGCCACGGCACAGCGTACAAGAACAAGCTACGAACAAAACTCCATCAAGCCATCATTACCTCACCTTAGAAGAGTTCTTGGGGCAGCACTACTTAGCCACGCCAGCATCCCAGAAGACGAGGGAAATCATCCCTTGACGCCACAAATGATCGTCTTGAAAATAGCCAAATTACAAGCGCTGATAAAACAGCGAGCTACGTCGTCAATTAGCAAACACTATACACCGGCAGATAGTAGAACACCTCTTCTAGCACTGAGGACATGTCCCCCATCATCCTTTTGGGGTTTTCTTGAAATAAACAATTTTGAATTTTTCCACTCGACCATTCTGAAATACGTCCAAACTCATACCTGCGCAGGAAAGCTCACCCCTCCGCGACGTCTAGTCAGCAATTTCTACTCCAACACCACTCCCAACGCTGCAGAACAAAGTGTATTGTTGACTCTGACAAGGAAAAGTAGCGGTGATCACTTGTCACTCCAAACGACAAGCTTCTCCTTGCGCCACCAACATTTTTCGTTGCAACAGTTGATGCAAAAGTGACTGAATTTTTGCGTGTAGTTTTTGGATTTTACTGCAAGAGGAATGAAGAAATCACGTGGATCGTGACGTAGAATATTGCTTTCTGGTACACGACACAATGCACACGATCACGATCGTTCCTGTGGCGCTATTCGAAACGGACCATGAGGGAGGAGGTAAGATGCATTATATTTCTTGCATGCTCTGCTCAGAACATGCAGAAACTATCGTTATAACGCTAGCATTATTGCATTGACAAGAATTTTTTGAGATATTTCCTCTTGCAGTAGGAACAGGGATGCATTTTTTCACACTAACCTCGCTCATCCCGAACATGGTTCAACTGGAACTACGGCTGGTTTACATGCTGATGATCCACGTAGATCTGCAACAGCAAGGAATGAGCGTGGTCAAGGTCGCTTGGAGTTGACCAGCACGCGGCCAACACTGGTTGCATGAAGTATGTGGCGCGGCCACATGGCAGATTTCTTACGTCATGAACAACGTGATTTGACCCTACACGCCCGTCTCTGTGCTGCATGTTGAGGGAAAATCCCAGCTGGAAGGCCTACAACACGACATGCGTGCTCTTGAGCTGGACATCAAGATGCACTTGATCCGATCTAGATCAACGGGTGATCCATGTAAGTGCAGGAGCGCTTGATCAAGGTGACTCGGAACAACTGCTGTACCGTGATCTACGAGACCTGGCATTCTTGTGTCACGAGGCACGTGATTTCATCATTCCTCTTGCAGGAAAATCCAAAAACTACACGCAAAAATTCAGTCACTTTTGCATCAACTGTTGCAACGAAAAATGTTGGTGGCGCAAGGAGAAGCTTGTCGTTTGGAGTGACAAGTGATCACCGCTGCTTTTCCTTGTCAGAGTCAACAATACACTTTGTTCTGCAGCGTTGGAAGTGGTGTTGGAGTAGAAATTGCTGACTAGACGTCGCGGAGGGGCGAGCTTTCCTGCGCAGGTATGAGTTTGGACGTATTTCAGAATGGTCGAGTGGAAAAATTCAAAATTGTTTATTTCAAGAAAACCCCAAAAGGATGATGGGGGACATGTCCTCAG